CCCAAACCACAATGTTGCTTTCAAGAAACTTGTGGAACTCAGATACTTCATATAGTGGTTCAGCAGCTCCCCACTCCAGAGGGCTAGTGTGGTCTGTGTTTGCCCAGGGTAGCAGTGGGAAGAAGGGCGCAAAGCAAAGGTTTATAGCTGAAAGGGCACTTAGAGCATCTCGTTTGACATTCTAGGACACACGAACTTTTTATTCTGATGTCACCCATCCTTTTTGCTATTTAGCCCAGAGACTCTTAGCCGGGTTCTCATGTGAACTATAAAATACCCAAAGATGATCAGGGTAGCCGTTTCTACAGTTTCCCAAAGGCAACATGGCCAACACTGTGGAGGGACTGAAACCCTTTTGTACTCGTACACTGTTAAATTCGCCTGCAGGCTGTACGTGTTCCGTCCAGAGATACGGACTGCCAGCCAAGAGCCACCAACGGTAGTCAGAGCGTTGGTATTGTCTTGTCCCATTTTCACAGTGTGATAGTGAAGGGTGCCTAGTGGAAACTGTGGGGAGGATAGAAAGGAATTCGGGTCATCTTATTTGGTCATCCATGAGTCTTATTTGATGGATGAAGGCCACTCTTTTCTTCAGAGAGACACAGGCTCTATTGTCTGCAAGCCCATTTTCCCCACAGATATTTTCAAAAACAGTCCAAAACCACAGTGTCCAGAAGATTGGATGTGCAGAAGCATAAAGAAGCCCAGGGAAAACTTTCTTCCCCCAGACACATGGGTTGGGGGCAGAGAGTATTAAAATTTTAAGCCATATTACAAAAAACAGCCAAATTCTGGATGGTTACATAATGGATAGATCTATGCTTTTAGGCGGGTGGTCCTCTGAAAAGCCGGACAAGCTGCCTTTGCGGACAGCTGTGGATCTTGTCCACTGCTCCCGGATCCTGCTGTGAACCTCTAGTAGTTGACTGTGTTCATTTGCCCATTTGTTACCTTATTCCACTCTTCTGAGAGGACAGGATTCCAGTGTTTCTTCTGCCCAAGTGGCCACAGCACTTTATTTCAAACCATATTCTGCCACGCAACTCTCTCCTCTGCAGCATTCCCGGTTCTCCAGGAGACAGGATCTTTCCCAGACACTGTTTCTAGACTTTCATTTTGCTGTTATTTATGAACATTTCAACCCACAAAAGTCTGTGTCTGTGGAAGTTTAAATGAGAATGACCTGCATATATGTGAATGTGTGGTTCCCAGTTCGTAGCTGTTTAGGAAGGATTAGGAGGTGTGGCCTGGTTGCAGGAGGCTTATCACGGACGTGGATTTGAGGTTGCAAAAGCCCATACATATCAGTCTCATTCTCTCTGTGTTCCTCCATCTTGTAAATCAGGTATGAGCTCCTTCCTAGCTTCTGCTGCAGTTCTATGACTATCGGCAGCCAAGCTCCCCGCCATGGTGGTCATGGACTCAGCCTCAGAAACTGGCAGCTAGCCTCCAATTAAACGTTTCCTTTTGTAATTTGCCGTGGTCATGGCATCTCTTCACAGCAGTAGATCAGTGACTCATTCAGTGTCTGCATGCATGTCGTGGGCCTGGAGAAACCCTGAACTCTAGATAGAGACTGAAGTTGGAGTGAGTTAGCTCTCACGGTGAACTGGCTACCATGAGATGTTATAGCACACAGATGTTGAACAAACACAAGAAAATACAGAAAACAGGACACCTTTGAGAAGCAGACCCTAAACAGAGATTGCCAAGTGTGAGTTTCAGATTCAGGACGAGCTAGGCTAAAGCGCAGGCCCGTCCCTTCCTTGTCTGTCACTCCAGGGGCTCTCTCACTTTCCCGTTCACGAGCACAGTCTGTGACTTCAGTGTAGGGTCCGTGCTGTAGTCATGGCGCTGGTCTTCGCCCGTGGCTGCCCTCCTCCTCCTCCTCCTCCTCCTCCTCCTCCTCCTCTTCCTCCTCCCCCTCCCCCTCCTCCTCCCCCTCCCCCTCCTCCTCCTCCTCCTCCTCC